ACTGCATCCAAGTTTCATTGCATCCAAGTTTGTCTGCAGTTCATCACCTGTTTCAACCACACAGTACATCCAGGTTTACAGTCAAAAGCGATCCCTTCAAAATAAATCCCTGAGCTACATTTCATGACACTTGTTTGTTTTTGTTTACCAAGCCTTACATAACCTTTATGTCCCATTGCAGTATGATACAATTGTTTGATAGTGACATACACCCTGAATGTTTTCAGCTCTCCACAGTACATAGCAGAATATAGAGATTATTTAATATTTCCTTTTTAATAACAAAATTCAAGACCTGCTAATGGCTGCTAAATAAACATTTGGTGAGCTACAGACAGCTGTGAATTTAAAAACAGAAAACAGGTTTGTGCATTACTTATTTTGACTATAGGTTCATGTAAACATCAGGGTTTCATCCTTTCACCGCACAAATGAAAGATGCATCACGACTTATATAACAAGGAAATACATTAAATGCAATTCTTACCAAGTATGTATGGATACTACAAGAACTGACATAATTTATCAATTAATAGTTGTTTAAACCAACTATAAGGACTTTCTCACTAGTTATTAAACTAAATCTAATACAGATGCCTTCATATGACTTACATAAGAAAACAAAACCATATATAGTTATTCTTAATTCCTGCTGCCAGGTCAGAGTCCCCTTCAAATCAATGAGGTACTGGAAACTTTCATCCACAGGGGTCACCAAAATCAGCACAAAGTTGACGTTCCTTGTTGCATTAACAGCAATTTAATAATCAACTATTATGGTTATCTACTCATTATTCGAGTTGCTAAATTAATAAAAAACTGTCAAATAGTTTCTGGCTCCAGCTTTGCAAATGTGAAGATTTGCTGTTTTTTCTGTTTTATATTATTTTATTATTGTTGAGTTTTGGGGGGAAAAAAGGCATTTGAAGACATGACCTTATTTATTCCATAGACTAAACAAGTAATACATTCATTGAAAGAAACTGACAGATTAACCAATAATGAAAATAACCTTTAGTTCCAACACATGTGCTAGACAGAAAGAGTAGGGACATTAAAAGTAATCTTCATTTAATTAGCTCACTAATCTTTATCGTCAGACTTCATCAGTCTTTAAGCATCCACAGTGTGGCCTCATAAACACAGAATTAATAACTGTGGATAATTATCCTTGCAGTCGATTACTGATATTGTGGGATCGTAGCTCTTGATTGCATCCAAATCCCCATGAGAAGGAAAGCAAAGACACGAATGACACATCATGAACTTTCCAGGCATATTTAATTGGCACAGTAAACACAATACAAAGTATTCAGTGCTCCAAAACACAAGCATGGGCTACCAAATGGAACAGAAACGAAAAAGTGCAAAAACACACCATTTGGTAGACCTTACCAAGGAAAATAAGTCTTACTTCGCAAAGCAGATAAAGTAATGGTAAGACTCTCAATAGTTAAAATAGATGTTTTTCCTTTTTAAACTTTATTTATATATTCATATATATTCTCTCTAATTCCAACGTGCCATTTCCACTGTACAGGCAGGTTACTCTGGGGGCGTCGACTAAAAGGTTTGTGGTGGTCTCATTGTAGAGAACTGGCAGGCAGAAGACTACTGTAAAGCTACTGCTGCCCTTAAAGCGGTGATGTGTGCCTCATCAGATTTATCGTCTATTGTCGAAAACAGTTAGAACGAACGGAAAAGTGGCTTGTTTGATATCTTGACATATCGAGCGATGGGTGGTGAAAAGCAAACATGATACTTTCAAGAGTCCGAATGGTCAATATGTTCATCAGTCCTCCATTTATTGAGTGTTCATAATATGCTGCATCAGATGAATATTTAAGAATGGCTTCATCCAAAATAATTGTTACTCATATTTGCAGTTAAGGGATTTTAGTCCCATTCAGGCAGAATAAGCTACAACATAGAATTCCAGCTTAAAAAAAAAAAAAAAAAGAAGAAAGTTGAATCTCAACATCATCAAATATAAAAACAAAAATGTTAAAATCATGTACATTATGTGCCGTTGAGCAGGGGGTGGGGTGGGGAATCAGTGGACATCATTTCTGATTATAAAAACTCTCAAATTTGTCATCAAAACCTTTTGAGATAATCACATCTTAATCCTTTTACCAACCATACCACCATCAGCATCATTCTGTTTCTCAGAAACCCAGTTAAGGCCCACAACAGGTAATTTTGGGTCACATTTCAGTCAGAAACTCACAGGAAAATGTGGATCACAGTATATTTTCATATACAGTAGACAGTTAAAGTGGACCATCCTAAGAACATCAGGTGTAAATCATGTCTTCATAGGTTTTATTTTTGGGTAAACTGTTGCTTGGACCAAGTGGAGACTTTTCCACAAGGTGATTAACTGTAAACTAACAACAACTTGCGTTAGACACTCTGATCAAAACATACAATACTAACATTTTTTACATACATACTGTGCTGTGTACTTACAGTAAAACAAATGCACAAGACATCCATGACCTACCTATGCAAAAGATCACTCAGAAAACAATGTTTCTGGTCCCTATCGTCCTTTACTGACAGTTTTGAGATTAAACTGGGGGAACACTGGGAGGAGGAGATCACTCACTCACTGTTAAAAATAGGAAATCATGCTTTCTGATCCAACAGAAGAAAAAGAGATATTTAAAAATAAAGAAGAACCACAGGCACTGAACCCAAACAGTAGCATTCAGGTTAATTCAAACAGTACAACCAGGCAATGAGGGTTAACTGAACAGAAAGGCTGGAGGCAAAGAGGCGAGGGGGGGCGGTAAGCGGACCAAACACCCCCACCACATCCTCCGGGTTGCCAGCAGAGAAGGGCGAGGAGGAAGACAGGGCAAGCATGCAGCACACCGCAACGCTGAGAGGCCCCCAACCTCGAGCTGTTGCAAAAAAAAAAAAAAGGGGGGGGGCACTCAAAGCAGCCGAGGGAGAGCTTGAGCCGCCTGAGGAGGGAAGGGGCCGTGGAGGCGAAGGAGGGGGTGTGTGGTCAGAGAGAGGAACAGACACCAGTGACAAGACAAGAATTTGTAGGATGAGGCAAATGACCCACCATCCAATCTCTTTTCCCTCCAGTTGGTCCTGGATATGGTGGGGGGGTGGGGGTGGTAGTGGATGTGGAGAAAATGGGTCATTACAACACACAAGACCTTTTTAAAATAAGATTCAGATCAAACAAACACGAACCAGAAGCACATGACATACAGATAGATGTTTAGCACCTTCGCTTCTTCCTTTGCCAGGTGGGTGGAAAACCTGCAGATATGGAGCTGATTTTAGTGGGAGGGGTGAACATGAGGTTTTTAAAGCCCCAGATGTAGGCGGATGAGCTGAGGATGAGTCTCTTTTTAGCCACGGTGACTGAGGAGTTCATGACTCACAACACACACACACCGCCCGGATGAAGGTGTTTGACAGCTGGCTTTTAGTCCGTAGGCTCCTGTGTTCTCCGTCCTGTCTCTGACCACACCCTCTGCCACGTGTGTGTGCGTGTGTGTGCAATGGGGGCAAAGGTGAGGAAAAAGAGAAGGGGGTGGGGGGGCGGCGTTCAGAGCGAGGAAGCCAACAGCCGTTCATGACCGCGCGCGTTGCAAGCGGAGTTAGTTACATTAAGAAGCAAAGCTAAAAACAACAAAAAGCAAATTGTATACTGTGGTTGTGATTGCTGTATGGGTGTTAAGAATGGAAAAAGGTTATGAGCGCTAAAATTTAGATGGATTTCTCTTATCGTCGCTTCACATCGCAGAGTTCTGCAGAGGAAGCGCAACACTGCCGATAAGTTTCTCTTATTTTTAATAATGGTTTGGAAAATTGAGATGCGTTCTAATCGGCCGTCTCTCTTTTAGATTCAGGTCGTCTTTCACTTTCTCTCTCTGACTCTGTGAGCGCGTGAGGAACGTGGTGGTTTTCTCCGAGGCTGCTTGCCCTGCCATTCCTCAGCCAGCCTCGCACTTTTAGGAATCTGTAATTCAAAAAAAGAAATACGAACAAACAAAAACAAAAAAATGACAAAAAGAAAAGTTAGAAAGCTTTAAAGGAAAATCGAGTCAAAGACTGCAACCCAAATATTCAGATATGGAGAGGAGGAAGAGAGAACCCATTGCATATATGAACCTACTTGTGGTGTCAGCATGAATGTCATCTGCACATACTGTATGTGTGAAATACCTCCATTAACCCAAAGATGTGTCTGTTTAACTAAGAGCCTTTCAGCTTGTTCCACTTCAGTTTTCATCTGGCTTGAATGCGTGTCATAATGCAGCCACTATACTCTGTCACAACATGCTGAAATCCTGCCATGACAGGGACAAAAATCCCACAAATGCTGCCTCATGCACCACATTTCAAATGCTCTTCAATAACAATTACAGGAGGCATGAAATGTGTATTTATAGTGCCGATGTAAAATGAAATCCTGCACACAAGAACCACATGCTGTGCCAGTAACAGTCCATCAAAGCTGATTAAAAGGTGTGACAGGAAGTTAAACCAAAGCTTGTGTAATGAATTACGAAAGAGATGATTTCTGAGTCAGTGCCAATCTTGGAAAGTAGAACAGAATGTCTAATTGTAGCAGCGGAGTGAAAACATGACACAGAGGCGACACACACCATGCCTTTACAGTTAAAATGCACCGTTCACAGAGGTGCTGCTCAGAGACCCATGCAAGAAATCACAAAGCTTAAAAGTCACGTCCAGCTCCATATCTCAGCCCAGTCTCACCATATAGCTTAGTACAGCTAATTCTCAGTCCTTTATTCCTTTACCACTGGCCTGGAAAAAAGGACCAGAACAGCCCAACACTATCATCATCAAAATGTGGATCAAAACAAGAAAAGAAAACACATTTTAAAGGGGGCTATTAGTTACTAATTTGAGCAATAATTTTACAAAAATGACCCCTAACCGGAGGAGAATAATTACTTTCACAACGTTTTCATGTTGTAACAGCACTATGATTCATCTACAGCATGCAACATTAGAGGGGTGATTTTTATTTTCTTTTTTTATGTTTAGGCTACAAAAATATCTTTTAATATGTATTCATATTTTACAGCAGATTTAAATTACATTTGCATGATTGCACATGGAGCATGCTTTCCTTTTGGGAACAACAACAATTGACCAAAACACAGTAACTTGCGTGATGATTCAATTTTCACTTGATGTTCATTGTCACTTCAGATGATACGTACATTCACTCAGCTGAGTTTAGTGGTTTATTACAATACTGACTCAAATATTTGACCAAAGTTGTGGATCAGACTCTTGATTAAAATCATGTTCAATTGAGTGGAATACAGTCTTAAATCTTAACAAAATATATATATAAAAAAAAAAAAAATCAAGTATTAGTATGTTTGAAATGTACATGTGATCATTGTCAGTGGGTGATTCATACCATCCTGCTAAGGTTATATAGTCATATTTTATTATGTATGACCACTAGGTGGCACTGCAGTGAATGGTAGGTGAGGAACTACAAGCTTCTTTCCACACACACACACACAACTTCTGCCTGCTCAGCTTGCATTCAGTGTCATTTCCTAAACAAATGTTTTGTGCAGAGCTCAAGAACAGTGTAGAGTGACACACACTCACGCTATCTGCCACAACTGTCCAAAATGTCACGAGGCACACCGGACAAATCTGACTGGTCCTTCCCTCGGAGAGAGACAGGAAGTGCGTGTGTGTGTGTGTGTGTGCGTGCGTGCGAGGAGGGTTATTCTCTTATCTGAGCTACCAGAAAAAATCTTTGATCTTCGTAACTTGCCCCACTCATATAGCAGTGAACGGAAACTTACTGACTCACATTAACAAAAAACACACTTTTGTGAGTTAAATGTATGTCATAGCACCTTTGGCATTTGTTTCCAAAAAGACCTCAACGTAGGACGTGGGGACGTAGCCCTCCTCGTCCTCGTTCCTGCGCACTCGTGTCCAGCCGTCTCCTTTGTCTTCTTCTATGACGTACAACAGCTCGCCCTCTGCCACGGCGATTGTGCCCTCGTTGTGACCTGTGGGAAAGAGGAATAAGAGAAAAAAGATAAGCGCATGAATACAACAACAACCTTGTGCTAACTTCATCAAGATAAAAGCTTAATTTGTATATCATGTTTCCTGGAAAGAAAGAGGAACCAGCTGATGTGCAGTAGGAAAACGCAACCATAATCATAATAAGTATAAAGGAAGTAAAAGAAATATGAAATAATACCAGTATTGTTTGGATATCAATGAAGCAACATCAGCCTGCAGAACTGGCTTGCATTCCAGTTTTATGGAGGGAAGTCGCAGCTTTTTTAACACCAGTCCTGGGCTAAACTATCACACATTCAGAATCAGTCTCACTATTTAATGACACTTCATTTAATCTGTCCAGCAACGAAAAACATATATTATGTATGGGTACTATATACCCAAATAAATACTTATACTTAAAATCATTAAAATAGGTAAAATATTGGCTACTTCTTCATCTCTTAAGAACTCAAACAATTAACAGCACTTGATGTTTGGTATTTTAATTTATAATTATGATGTCTGTATCTTCTCATAGAGAGGAAGGAATGTCCCGTTTTGACTCAGAGGACTGATCCAGTTCAACATTTACAAGTCACGGCTCCACCTCTGAGTTACACCCATGGCTGTAGTTAACAGCCTTTGAGAATTTGCTGGATCTGCATTTGAAAATAGTGTACCAGAGAAATGACTATATTTCTATCCACACTCCTCCACACATTTCCTCAGAAACTCTACCTCATTCAGAGGAATCAAAAAGAAAAGGTCCCTGTGTCTAGAAAAAACAGGATCTTACCTAAAGGTCACATGTACTTTGAAATATTTAAAATTCCCTGTCTTCATTTGTTCTTGATGTTTACAACATTTGTGGTTGTAGTTACCTTCAAATGGGTACAAGGCTTTGCAGGTGCCGATGGTGGGTAGGGTCTCCTCATCATCAAACTCATCGTCAAACTCTGGCGTGGTGGAGGTGGGGTTGGGGTTGGGGATGGGGTTGATGTTGGCTTTGACCTGAGTCTCTGAATTCTGTTCCTCCGTGTAGCTGCCATCCGGGCTGCTCAAGGGCCAACACACACACAGTAAATATACTGTGAAAACATACATAGTTTTCTTCCGAAGAAATGAGGAGTAACAAATCTTTCGTGTGACTGAAAGACGTTTTGTTTGTTTGTCAGAGTATACCATACCTCTCTCTGTCCTGCGCACAGTTGTTGCCCACTGTTGTGTTGTTCTGGGTCTCATAGAGTCCACTTCTCCGGTGTGTATCACTCTTGGATGGCATCCTCTCCTCCACCTCTGCTAACCAGCCCTGAAACACACACAGTCGTTATGTACGTGTTGGCTGCAGCGCGTCTTTTTTTCCTACGCGGCAACTTGAAATATTTGTCAAGGAATTCTTTTTATCCGTGACCTTTCAAAGGTGGAACACCTCTGCCTTACACTCCAATGTGTCTGCCATTTATTTACAGGGTTAAACCAGGCCATTGTTCTGGGACTCCTCTCTCCCTGCACAGAGCTGGAATATGCAGCCAGCCCCTCCAGCTGCATCACATCTTCTCCTAATATGGACGAACGGCAGACTTCTTTGGAACAACCCCAGCTGGAGACGTGTGTTTGAACTCCTCATTATTTACTGTCTTATATAAACCAAACAAAATTGCTTCGCCAACACTAACACTCACACAGAGATGATAGCTCAGACTGGCACCAAAAACTAACCTCGAATTTCTGAACTTCAAACTGGAGCTTTTCGATGTTCTGGCCTATTTCTGATAGCCGTGGGTCTACGCTGGCCGGGTCTCCCATCTGAGGGTTCTTCACATACACGTCTTTCATCTTAGTTAGAGCGTCCCTGGAGAGCAAATTACTAAAGTCAGTACAAGTCTTTGAGTCTTTGTTGCACATTAACAGGGTAAATATAAATATGACTTGTCGTATACAGGAGAAGAAAGCTCTGTAATGCCAAATTTTAATCTTTAAAAAGATACCTCTGGTCCATTTCTTTTTGAATGTCCTTATTCAGTTCATCTAGCTTGCCCTGCAGCTTCTTCCTCCTCTGTTCTGGTGGCAGGTGGCTGAAGTCCTCTGGTCCAGAGCCCTGTGAGTGAAAAAAGAAACAAAAATTGGAAAAGAAATAGAGAGAACACATAAGATGAAGAAAAGCAACTTTAATAATTCATTGTTCGTTGTGTTGCTGTTTTAAGAGGGATCTTTCTTTTCGAGATAAGTGCAGTATCTCCCTTTGCTGTAAACCCTGTGAGCCAAGACTCAGGGATAAATGGATAACAGCTCCACAAATGGAGCTCTCGTTATGTTCTAACCACATAATTCACCTGAAGGAGATACTGCAGCCACTCTAACACACTCACAGAAAGTTGGGATGTTTGTCTGTGTAAAGACTTGAGGCCTTTCACCTATTCAGTCACCGCATGTAATCTAGTGCTCTCTGTGAATGCATCGGAAATGTAATAAAGTATTTTCTACATCCTATTATTGCTCATATAGTGTTTCAGTGTGAGCTGGATAATGGGTTTAAAGCTGTCTGACTGTCCTCTGACAGCACTGCGTGTTCTTAAAATTGAGGTTGTTTTAGTAAGAGGTTTTTTGGCCGACCAAGGGGTCATATTTCCTGATGAGAAGGTTTCTAGTCCGTAACAGCAGACTGATGAGTCATACTTCCCGGCAGTCTTTCAAAATTTCTCTGGACATGATGTTTCTGTATCCTGAAGCTTGCTAGCTGGTCTGCATGGAGCCCGAACGAGTTCAAAATTAAATACATAATTATCCATCCATCCATCAGCTATACCTGCATATCCTTGAGGGTAGCTGAGGCTGGAGCCGGGTACACATTGGACAGGTCACCAGTCAGTCACAGGGCTGACGCATAGACAAACAACCCATTCTTGCCTACTCGCCTGCATGTCTTTGGACTGTGGGAGGAAAACCCACGCTGTGAGGAAACGGCACTAACCACAGCACCAGCGTGTCGCCCCAAATACATAATTAGGAAATAAATAATGATATAAATAAAGTACAATATATAAATGAAAACTCAACTCGTTACTGTAGTTGCTTTTTTAATAAAGCCATTTTTTTCACAATTAAACTATTATTTCATGTCATTTTTATTTCATAAAGTCACTTTCAACCCTTTCAGCCAATCACATGCCCCACGCTTTCCAGTAGAGTCCACAAATGCTTCCAAAATTAGTCACTTAGCTTCTGTTAGGACTAGAACAAAACAATATCAAAGTAATTCTCAATAATAAACCTCTCCTTATACTTACAGTGTTGCACATGCTATCTAGCTGACTAGCTGGTTTGGTTTGTGAGCTTGTTTTTATATTGGCTGAACCTGAATAGTGATTTGATTTTAAAAATGTCCTGCAGAGAAAAACACAGAACTTTGTGAAGAACAAAGACCCAGAGTCCATCTTGGGGGATTGAGGCATGTGATTGGCTGAAATGTGAGGGGGCGGGGTTGACAACTGCACAGTCATTAACAGTGACCTTATAAAGTAACAAACTAAAAGTCTACAGCCATAATAGCAGCTCTGTGAGGCTGTGCTAAAGCATAGTGGAGCCAAATGCTATCAACATCATGTTCATCATCTTAGTTTAGTGTATTAGCATGCTAACATTTGCTCACTATCACTAAACACAAAGTACAGCTGAAGCTGATATTGTTAGTTTTGCAGGTATTTGATCATAAACCAAAAATTCTAAAGTATTTAATTCAGTCTTATTTATTATTTTAATATTGAACTCATTGGGGCTCCATAGGGTCTTATTTTTAATGAAAAAAAAAAAAAAGATGTTGACAAAGACATTGTGTTACTGCACTGTTACTTTAGTCTGATCAATTAAGAAAAATGTGCATGGACTGAATAGGTGAAGGCCCGATTGGATCTCACTGAGATGGTAACAGCGGTACCACAGGATATAACTGCAGGAGCTAGAGACTTGAGGTCAGGATTCACTGCACATAAAGCCAGGTCAAACACAGTAAACTAGGTTACCATGGCAACCTTACCCTTTCTCCCTGTATCAGCACGCAACACTTACCGGGCATGCAACATAACAAAGATTTGTCAATCATCATGCAAAGACATGCTTCTTTCTGATTGATTTCTGATTTAAGTTACAGTACAGAAGGGTATTAGTGTTTACATTCTCTATGTACCACAAGGCAAATGATAACTCTATCTAAATAAAATGTAAACTAAAACTATGGGCAGACATTAGGTATGTTGTTGTTGGTAGTATGATACATTTAGGATGAGAGAAGAATGAGTTTAAGAATTTGCTAATTGATTGTTCTGTATGGAATCTTGTATATAAAAATGACAAAAATCATGAAAAGACCTGGTTTTGATGACAACATTTTGGGAAATACACTTGTTTGCTTTCTTACAGACACTCTTATGTCTGTATGCTAATATGAAGCCGGCTAGCGGCCAGCTTAGCTTAGCATAAAGACTGGCAGCACTAGGGAACAACCAGCTTGGCTCTGTAAAACTGGGAACTCCTCACTTCCTGGACACTCAGCTGAAAGCAGCAAATTGAGATGTCGAAAACGTATTAATCATCATTTGTCATTGCAGAACAGTCCGTTTTGCATCTATAGATTGCAACACTTTGCATTGTGGGACTGTTACCAGAAAGTATTTATAACATATATATCCATTTTTATACAGGGCACATTTTCATACCTTTTGGAGCGAGCCAAACTAACCTTTTCCCCATTTTCAGGTTTTTATGGTAAGCTGAGCTAGGCGTTTGCTGGCTGTAGCTTCATATTCAGCACACATATATGAGAGGGTAATCAACATTCTCATTTAAGTCTCAACTAGAAAATGAATACGTTTAAAATGTTGAAACCAATCCTTTAATCCTTGAAGCGCATCCTGTTCTGAGGAAATGAATAGTTGATATTCTGTGGTCTGCCATCATACAGTTCTCTTACAGTATGCTTTACAGAACAGCATTCTATAAAAATAACAAAACAGGCATGCAGTGTAAGGAACTGAGTGAGCAACTACTATATCCGATCAGATTAGTATTTGTTACAAGGACATACAATCTGTCGAGACACGAAGGACTACCAGACAGACTAAGAGACGACATACATAACATTGAGTAAATCTGATCACCTCAATGAGATTCCGGACGTGGGAATTGAGTGTGATCTGCACCATAGAGACCACAGACACAGTTTGGGAGAGACATGACGAGAAAACAACCACGACATGAACACACAGACAACAAAATGACATACAAATGAGACAACGACATGAGTCTGAGGTCCATCGTTGTGTCACAGCAAAAATTGAATTAAAAACTTAAAATCGAAAAATTAAAAAAAGAGAGCACAACAAAAACATAACGGCGTACAGAACGTTATTAACAGTGTGTTACTGCGAAGACGTGACATGCGTGCTATGGTCATGCCGCTATGGTCGTGCGGTTATACGGTCATGCTTACCAGCTTGAGAGAAAGCTTCATGGGGGGGGGAGAGGAGAGGGAAATGGCGAAGAGCAGGAGAGAGAAAGAGAACACAGACAAAAGTCAACATCAAGAGAAAATTATGGCCATTTGTGTCATTTTCCTTTAAACAAAAATTGTTTACATGTATTTTATGATAACGCTTTACTTTGCCAAACTTCACCATTTAAGGAAAAGAGGGTACACCATTTAACAGCTGAAGGATTTGGATTTATATGCTACTGGTGTCATAAAAAAGCTCTTTCAGCAACAGTTCCAGCTATACCCCCCCCACACACACACACACTCTTTTCTAATGTGGTGAAGTTTAGCATTTCTAATACGATGGATTAATGAAAAATAGGAAATAAGTTGGCAACAAAAGCCAACCTACTGCACAAGCATGAAGTAGAGAATGAGAAAAAAAAATGAAGGGAAGACAGATGAAAACAAATATGAAGAAAGAAGTAGAGGGAGAGTGACTGCGACAGGGACGGATGTACCCTTTACTTCTTGATCCCTCTCTGCTGCCATTACAATGACACGCAATTGACAGCAGAGGGCGCCAAAAGCATGTATCACATTAGCAGATCCGTACGTTTGACATGGAGGCAGATGCTGTACACAGACAAGCTGGAGAGACACTTTCAAAACCAAACTATCAAAACTCATTTCTGATGAAGAAAAATCTACACGTAGCCAGTGCGTACATCTCAAATTAAAGCAGCTGGATGATGGTACAAAACACATAAAAGTAATCATGACCTAAAATGCAATTAGAGTAAAAAAGAGCAAAATAAATACTCATAAAAGTGTTTTAACAGCTTATTTAGACCCATTTGCTGAGTGATCACTGAGAGGATGTTGTTATGTTCTGAATACAAAGAACAGAGTAGAGAGCAGGTTAACGACCATTGGCCGTCAGAGCTGGAGCAGATGACTTGTAATCCTGTTAGAGGCTCACAGGCTGGTGCGCTGAGGAGCTCTACGCACTTTAGTCCACTAATCAAGTCACCCACCTGGAATGGCCTGTTACGGTCTTTGCTATGACCACTTGTGATCCTACCTCTCGAATCACCACCAATACACTATTCTTACGTTTCCTATGTGTGAGGAGCACAAAAAAAAGAACTAATTTACACTTAAACGCTGATGTTAAGGGTAAGGGTTAAGGGTAAGGGTATTTAGATGTATAAGTGATAAAAATGCTTCATGAACTGTAGGTTAAGATCTGGTTCTGACCTTTTTCCGTTTCTAGTGCTACAGATATGGACTATGTTTAACTGAGCCAGGATATAAGAGACTTTTAGACCTTTTCATTTAAGTCATGGCTAAAATCTGGGCCTGTAAAAGTGAAATTTTCAACTTCAGTAAAAGATAAAAGTAAAAATCACTTTTACCTACTCAACTAAAGGCTATTTATCATATTTCTTACAACTTCAAAATGTGCTTAAATCTAAGACAGATCCACAGGTCTCTTAAATTGGTTAAGAGAAGATCTTGGATGACTGCAATACAAGAAGAGGTGTGCTACACCTTCCAAGACATGTTCTGGAGTGACTGTACAAACCACTGGTCATAATGAATATAGAGTATGATACAATAGAGTATGATTTTATGGTTTTTACCTATTATTTGCATTTGATAGGATGATTTTATTCCTATTTTGCATGCACAAACAAGAATAAAGCTGGCCTTGATTTAGTTTGCAGTCACTTTCCATGCATCCTTACATCCTTACACTTGTGTTTGGTTTTATTATTCTGCTTATTGTATGATTTCTCTGATGCACCTCATCTACCAGCAGCAGAGTTTCTTTCCTGTTCCAGTTTAGTTTTCTTCTCGCTTCCAATTTTGCCAATTTCCATTTATTACATCGATTTATATCTTGGATTGTTGTTATTAAATTGAATTTACAATCACATAGATTCTAAAAAAATAGCATATCACAGAATAAGGTACTTTTTATAAAGTAAAATAAAGTATTGAATGAAAAATGGGGCAAATGTTGGGTAAATTCTTATCTCTGAGCATATACGTGATAAATCATGCGCTACACTTTGCTTTATGTAGCAGTAAGTTGCATGATAAATGTACTGTATTTTTTACTTTCAGTGCAGTTGAAGCTGGCTCTTGGGAGCTCTTCTTAAGAGTGATTCTGAAAAGTTTGATAAATACAGGCCCCGAGATCTACCTGAACTCTTTCCAACCACTCAGACAGACATAGATACACAGGTATATTATGGCCCATACAGACAGATAACATTGCTGCAGTATGGCACACCAGCACAAAGAAAGCCCTGGAGGGGTGAATTCTGGGTACTGTCAACTGAACCCAGACCCAAAGTGTGACCAACACCTTGCCCAATTTTACGTCCAACTGAGTGTGAGATTTAATTAGCGAGGAGGGGTGATTGCTGGGTGGGATGAATAGCATCCTCACATAATCCCCCGCGGCCTCAGGTGCTTGTGACACTTTGTGAATTGACCCCTAGAAGAAGCTCAGTGGGGAAGCCCTTTATCAGCTGCAGGACATCGAGCAACAGGAAACCTCAAGCTGATACATGTGATGAGGGGTGAAGTCATCATCTTCTCCGATCATTCGTCCCGATTCTACATGTGTCAGAGCCATGTGATCAACACTCAGCCAGGCACAGACACTAGCCTCCTTTGAGAGGACATTTTGCCTCGTTAATGGTGTCAAACAATCTCCTTGTGGAGGCCGAATGTGCCGCACAACAAATGATTATTAATGAGGCTACTGTATGTGCCTTACATGGCTTTTACTAATCACACATCCACACACACATTCGATATTCATTCACACCACGTACCTGCTCACGCTCACAGAAACACACACACGCTGGTACTCACTCCCATCAGACACACACTTACAACATATTGCCTTGCTTCGAAAGCATATGTGGGTCGGCCCAGAGTCCTCTTCATAAGCTCTTTGTGACAAATGAGCGAGCGCGGGGATTGCTGCTGTGGTGGTTGTCAGAGAGAATACAGCTTTGTCAATGAGAACTCAGAAAACAGCACTGACGTCTTAAAGCTCTTATACTGTATACGGTTCTTAATTTGACTCCCAAAACACATACGCTTTCTTTTTTTCAACCCGCACAAAACACATACACGCGCACATACACAGTTACTGTGGATGGATTATGCACCACACAAAGGCTCTCCTGCAGGGGTAGACATTCCCTCCACTGTGCAGAGAGACACAACACCCTACCTCCACTGGCACAACTACTCTGATCCCTAATGTGATACTATATTCTCCTTCCAGGAGACTGGGGAGGAATAAAATTGTGTTTTCTTGAGTCAAATAGTTTTTATATCTTCGCTTTTGCTCTGTTAAAATCTAATACCACATAGTGCAATTAACTGTTATAACTGTGTCACGTTCATATTGGCAAACATATAAAAGGATAATGTACTGCGCCTAGAATTATTTATCGTATTATATCTTTCTGTACTCCACATTAGGATATAACAATGACTACTAATGATAAATTAATTTAATTGTTAGGACCTGGAGTGGCATAAAAGGTTGATTAACCAATTAACAAATTAAATATAATTTCTTTCCCATTATGAGGCAATAAGTTGTTAGCAACTAGGAAGCTCAGGTCTGATGGTTATGACTGGAACTCCACAAAAAAGGACTGAACTGTCTCCTACGAATACAATCCAATAATAAGCGAGTTAAAATCCTGACAGCCCCCAGTCGGATACAGAAACGTTTTGTAACATTACTGCTTATGGCAAGCAAGGTAAAAAATTCAAGACTTCAACAAGAGGCAATTAAAAACATTTTAAATCTGTATTCAAAAGTTTTACATGACTTTTCAGATACCTGATTTAAATTGACCCTGTACTTAAGCTAGTTAGCTCGGTTTGACCAGATGGGTGCAGGCCTGTTTGTGAAAGAGCTGAGGAATTGCCCTGACTCTCAACCAGCAGCTGTTCAGTGGCATTAGCCCAAACTGTCAGTGTGTCAGTGAGGCAGTAGGTCTGGTGTCCCTAAAAGACCTGTTGTCATTTTACTGGATTAACCATGCACTTTCTGTTTCTTTATTTATAATATATGGTAGATTTATTCCAAAAAGAAGAAATATTGTAAAGATTTACTGTAGATCTAACACCTATATACATGAAAAACATAAATAGGTTACCGCCATGAGACATGAAAAGGTGTACAAATTAGCTAAATGTATTATCATGAAATATGGAAAGGAGTACAGTTTAAGGCCTGATTGGATTAATTCAAATAAAGTCTTTGATTCTCTAAAGGGCTTTCTACTCTAATACAGTTTCTAACCTCTCATGCACTGAAAAACTTCACCCTTGTGCTTTGAAATGCTATAGGAAGGTCAAACGTCAATCTTTTTTATCTGTGTATAGTCATAGACAATGCATGTGATTTAACGCTGCACATTTTTTTATCACTCTTCTCAAGAGCTGTTTCAGCACTTCCGCTTTCAAAAACGTGCACTTCCTGCAAGATCTGTGTGCTAGAAAACATACACGCTTCCCTTTTTTTCTGCCGACCTTCAATCATTTCCTCTACGATATGCTCGCACACTGCACTGTTGCACCGCATTGTTCTTTCGCCTTTTCAGACGTCATGTTAGCACCAATTCATACAAATGTTTTTACTTTGAGTAACTGCTGCCCTTTCAAAATATGAGCATAAACAGAAGCTATATTTGTGGGGTCCGGAAGGAACACGTGAGTTGCCGCCCATTCCTGAGGTCAGGGAGAGCTAGAGGGTAGGTTATGGGAAGGCGTGCTATGACCTGCCCTGCCCCAGCAATTCCATTACAACACACACTGGACTTTTGAACGGTAAATGGTGATGACACCAACCAGGATCCTGGGCTGCTGCTGATAAAACCTCCAGGAAGCTGTCTAAAATTACTCTACTGGCCTTCTCCCTCCACATGGAGTGACTCAGTCAGCCTGCCATATCCACAATCCATTACTGTGTTCATATTGAGAGGTTTAACCCTCCTCTTTGTGTTACTTTCCTAACATCACGTGCAAAAAACAAAAACAATCCGCCTCCGGCATAGACTGCAGGGGAGTGTGCAGGGAGCAACTGCAGTCTCCATGCTGCTGCCAAGACTGCTCCGGCGTCTTGCTAATTTCTGTCAAAGGGGGGGAGGTGGGTGAGAGGGACTGTCATTGTGAGCACAGAGTTAATATGGAGAATGAAGGGACAAGATGGAGAGACTGCTGGTGAGTCAGACAAGTACCACGGATTCATGGTTATGCGCTACGTAAGCATGCTAGAGAAGCAAAATGGCTGAGCACTGTATGAGTGAAGGTAAGAGGCCTGTTGTACTGCTGGTTTTCACTGATATTATCATTTTAGTATAACGGTGCCAATTTTAAAGGCAGGTCTGAACTGGAAAATTGGAAAGTGAAAGCTGTAATGGGCCAATGTGAGCACTGTTTTCTAACTGAGGTCACATTGCCTACATATGGATTGATTCAGTCACTGGTAACAGAGGTAATGTTCAATCACCTGTTATATGATACCATGTAGGCATTAAGACCTTCCCAACTGATGTTAAGCAAGATTCTACCTTTGTATTACTTCACTCATACAGTGTAGCAGGTACACAGCACAGGTACAGGTGTAGAGACAAACACACACATGCACAAAGCTTGCTGGACACACACACTTACCCCTCGCCTCAGGCTCCGGAGGCAGTGCATTTTGGGTTTGGAGGTCATGAAGTCGTTGAGGCGGTGGGAGAGGGGCTCCTTGTGCTGCTTGGGAGACTGGGGGTCGTTGGGAACAGCAGAGGGTGAGGGCGGGGATGAGGCTGGGGGGCAGGTGGGGGCTGGTGGGGGGACGTTAACAGGGACATAAGCTACCAGTAAGAGAGGGAGCCGTGACGGAGAGGAGGAGGAAAAACATGGAAGAAGTAGAAGAAGAAGAAGAAGGGGGCAAGAATCCAACGAAAAAAGACAAAGGAGGAAAAGGAGGAGGGAACACAAAACGAAATAAATAAGCCTCCTACAAATATTAAAAAATAAACACACAACAGAAAACCCAAACAGAACGTAAAAGACCAAAGGAACGTCAAACCTAGTGTATCAGTTGTTATGTTGTGGAAAAAATGTCAAACATATAAAACATAAAAAAAAACAGTTAAAAAGAAGAAAACCAGAGTGAGTAGGAAGCGCAAAAATGTGTTAAAGCAAGCGGCTGCAACGAAGCAAACAGCAAAGATTTTCAGTCAAAGCGCATGCAGGCTTCCATTTTGGAAATCCTTTTCCCTTTTTTTTCTCCTTCGCGACCTCATCACATGCCAGCTAGGACGAGAAATTCACCACATCCCCAAGGATAGCAGCAGCTGAATTTGAGGTCATCATCAGAGAAATCTAATTGCTTATTGCTGTCCTAAAACGTCTGACTGCATAATTCATCAACCCGTAGTTGAGGAGTTAGAGAATGAAGCTGTGATGAGTTCTAAGACACCACACAATGCGCATGCATGGGCAAGTGATTCAGAAACCCTTCTTTCACACAATGAGACAGAAAAATCACTAGAAACCCTGATTCTGTGAGGCAATAATGGTGTTTTTCTATAGAATTATCCATATATTAATATATGTTTTATTTTGAAATGTGTTTCTGTTATGATTGCATGCATGTGTGCAAGTGTACATGTACAGTAGAAATACCTCTCTGTATGGCTGTCTCTGCTACATCAGGCAAAGATAATAGAAGCATATTGTTCTGAATAAGTATTCCTTAGTTTTGGGAGCTTGCACACTGGATACAAAGAGTTCAAACACCATTTTCTAGACACATACATCAGTATGCTGGGGTTTCTCATCTAGCATTGCACTCACTTGCTTCTAGCCTTTCTCTCCACACACACAACACACACACTCAATTACTCACTCATGCTCTGGCCTAATTCAATACCAACAGTGCCACCAGCCCATAAGACAGTCAGAGATCAGTTTTGCTGTTCAGAAGTAGGAAACCGAAGGAGGCTACTCAAGGCTGATCAACAGTCAATGGAAAAAAACGGTGAGGGAGACTGTTATTCCAGACCAAGTTAATATCTGCCAGTTGAGTCCGTCCACAAGATGAAAGTAGAAATGCATTAGTGTGTGTTACAGAAGGGAGGCTCCAAAATCGGTGAGGGTGATTGCCAGGGAGGGGGAAACGGGTGGCGCAAATAACAACAAAAATGGCAATAGTAACATGAACTAGCAACAAATTTCTTGAGCTTAAAAGAAGCTAACGAAAGTCAAAGAATCTACACAAAAATGAAACTAAATTAAATACATAACCAGTGCTGGAAATGTAACAGATATTACAAATGTGACATTGAACACATATATTTCTTATAACCACTGTATTAAAAGACAAAACCAACATAACATCATACAACCAATAAAATCCCTGCAGCCCTCCACCCACAATCCACAAGAATCTCCCCGCAGTGCAAGGTCACATCCAAGTGAATATAATCTTGTAAAACAAAATGCACTAAAAACCAGCGAGGCTTTTCTGCACACTCGAGTGTAAATGTGGCATTCATGTGTTACCTTGTTCTTGTTCTTAATGAAAGGCCACAGTTTGCCTTTGCTCTTGCCAGCAGGCTTCTCCTTGGCCTCTCTGGTGTTGGACAGGCTGGTTTCAGACGCCGTCCTCTTCATGGCCTGGCCATAGTCCTCGAACTCCACGTCTCCCGGGGGCTCGAACCCGGACTTATAGGACTCCACCACCTGTTTCGAGTCCTGGTGGTTGGAGAGTGGTTGTAGCCATCAGTGACAGTCTTATATTTGATACATTTTAATCCACATTTTAATTCAAATATCAAAGAAAGAATAATAAAATGCAAAGCAATGGCTAAAAGGTTCTATGCGGTTTGTTTAGATTGTCCAGCTAATCAGCAGGTCTGGAGATAACATGCAACACAATAGTGCCCTGGTGACTCTCTTGTTTGTAGCAGTTTTTGTCTGATAACAGTTCATGAGTGCGTCATGAAAAAAAAGAGGGAGAGCGACTGTCGTTACTCAGTTTGTGGGCCACAGAAGAAAGAGGAAAAGACCTAAATCTGTCAGGCAGGAGTTACGACAAAAACACTGAGGTCGGGGACGCAGCCAGGCTCAACAGACACAGGAAGGAGCACATTAATCAAATGCAATGTGCATCAGCCTATCTGAACTGATAAAGGCAGAGGGTCTGGTTGGAATTAGGATTCTGGGGTCAAAGATCTGCTGTTGTGCACTATATAGATGAGAGAAGACTATGAGAGGAAGAGAGACAGAGAGAGGAAAGGAGCATGTGATGTGTTATTCCCTGCCGTTGTTTACTGTAGCAGCCAGTCACAGGCTGGAGTCATCTCCCTGGAGCTGGGCCATACACACAACTACACATTCACACACACACATATACTATGCGTTCCCTGGGGAAAGTCTGGTTTTTTGTCATACGGCAAGCAGCCAACATGTGACATCTCAATATATCACACGGCTCATTTTCTCTTTAACGTAGCAAATGCCGTCTTTCATTTCAATATCCAAATAATAAAAAATAAGCCATGGGACAGAACTTGTGCCAACGAATGCATATTAGCTTTGTGGAAGTGTGTAAACTGAAAATAGAAAAGGAGCTCTATGCAACTGAAGGTATCGACCGTAGGAAGCACAGTGACTCAACTTCCTCCCATTTCCCAAACAGTTACAGGTGTTAAAGAAATAGTTGGACATTTGGGGGAAATAACTTCATTGCTGCCTGACAGAGAATTAGATGAGGAGAGTAATAAAATCCTCATACCTGTCGATTAAAAAAAGGATTACAGCCAGTAGCTGCTAAGCTTTACATAGCACTAAGTAAATGAAGCAAAGTGTAATAACCACCAAAGATTGGGGTATTTCAGGGGTTTTTTGGATGGAACCGGTAACTTCCTGGAGTCGCCACAGGCCGCCTATCAACTGGTTTGGTCATGCACACTCCCCTGCGTAAAACTTTTTTACACTTCAATTTTTAAAGGATTTAACAAACAAGATATAATGTGTTAATTCCAGTCTTTATGCTAAGCTAAGCTAAGCTAACCAGCAGCTTGCAGTAGCTTCATGTAGCTTCATGTTTACAATACAGACAACAAAGTGGTATTAATCTTCTCATATACCTCTATATCAAACTATTTCTTAAAATCTAAAGGACTGCAGCCATGCTACCTCTGCAACTACACTTGACAGTAAATAAATAAAACTCTGCACCGCCCTCAGGGAAGTGTGTGTATAAAGAGTGGACAGTCCTCTGGAAGAGGGCTGACACACCCTATGCTGTGAGTAATGCATCAAGTCAGTTTCAACCATTTTTCTTCAGATTTCCAGTATAATCTGAGGAAGAAAATCAGACTGTTGCAACTATTAGCTCATTAACTGGAACTCAAGGGGAAACCATTTCCATGGAACTTATTTGTCATTTGTTGAGGGGAATTATGGCATGTATTTCTAGGTGACAGAAGGCGCTAGGAGTCGCTCATGTGCTTGTATTTCATTGGTCTCCTTACTATAAAGGGGAGGTCATAAATTGAATCATTTTGGTCAGCTATTCTCTCAGTTACAACGCTGTCCTCCTACGGCACTTTGTTGTTCACAGGTGGACGGTTTTTATTTTCAGAAGGCCCCCCAAGAGTACTGACACATTTGTTGTTTCAATGAAATCCTAATCGGTGGTGTGTGGGTTGTGACTGACACCATGGCTGAGTGAGTAATATGTCCCATATGGTGGTGTGTGTGCACATATATTTTATTCTGTATACTCACAGTCTTGGGCTCGATGGACTCGGCGGCTTTCGTCATGCCATCTAAACATTTCCCCACGATGGGCAGCACTTGGCGGTCCACTTCTGCAAATGTCTGCATGCACACTCCTAGCCTCTCAATTCTTTTCTCCTCCATGTCTTGAAGTTTCTACATGGAAATACAGGCATATTCATACATAAATACAAACTTTATTAGCTTGTGTTATAGAATAAGAGTTGAGTGGGCAGGGCTTTCGTTGAAAGTGATACACTGTGAGTTTGTCAAACTGTCTTTTGATATTGAGCATCAAAAAATGTACATACCATCTGGTACATTTCTTATGTACTTCTTAAATGCTTTTATATACTTTTAGAAAACAGCACTAGAGAAGTGAAAACTTAAAAGATCTTGAATAAGTGGAAAGAATCATTTTAGTATTTCAAACTCAATGGCTTATTACCCCTCAGTGTTTCTCGCACGTTAAGTATTTATTTTTAGCAGTTGACCCAGAGGGGGGTGGGGGAGGTGGGCTCCAAACAGCATTGAATTGAAGAGCTAATGATTGCACATGAATGCACCATTATAGCAGACTTTTCAATTAGTTGGCACTTATATCTGCATTTGCTCAAAGGGTTTTGAAAGACAGAAATGACAAACACAAAATATAAAAACATTTTCTGGGTTTTAACAGATGTATTTGTGTGAGACCTAAATAAATTTGATGTATGGGAAACACTGGTTAGTTGTAGGTTTGTTTGAAAACTGTGCAACAAAAGTGCAATTATCCACAACAACATAGAAGAAATAAGCCATATGCTGTTATATTTACCTGGAATATGTTGGGGATAATTGTGAAGTAATGTTCATTCTGCTCCTGGTTGAACTTTTGCAGGTAGGAGGAGTAATCACCCTTACTGTCAGCAGCCATCTGGTGCCTCATCTGAGCTTGCTGTCGTGCCTGAGGAAAAAAAACAACACACACAAACATTAATATCAGACACGATCTCGTCACTAAACATCAGTGCCCCCTGATTAACACAAACATATGAGTTACACACACACAGCCAGAGCACCAAAACCTATGAGTTGACACATTTGTGCATACGAGTGTTCATGCATGCACATGTACACACATAAACATAGACCTCGTGGACGCACGGTCACAGGTGCAAATCCGAGTCAGGCAGCAGTGACAGCAGTTGGCATTAAGACTGTACTAAAAGTAGGCCAGAGCAAACATATACAAAGAGAAACAACAGCCTGCACTGGCTGCAGAATGGAGGGATTTGGATTTTGATTGCCTGCCCGGTCTGGCCTATCTCTACTGTTGATAATGTTGATATTTTTAAGCTAGTTCAGTCTCAGGGAAAAGGCAGGCAGTCAGAAACACAGCAGGAGCAGCCTATTACAGATCCAAGGCAAGCAGATGGAGATGAGATTATCTCAGCTAGACAGCATGTGGGGTGTGTGTGTAGCTAAGTACTCCTATCTGTTTCCTCTTTCTATCGGATCTGAGGCCTGTACACATGAAAACAGTTGTTTTCATATGGTCATTTACAACAAAGAGTCACCTTATGAACCCCTGATTGCTTTTTGGTGAACTGAATGCAGATGCAATGGAAAATATTACAGCCATTAAACTGTGTGGGGCAGTAGAGGGAACATAACCCTGATCTGTCATAGTCCTGGGGGAAACATTTAAAGGACCTCGTCCAGTTTTCACCCACACACCAATCTGAGGCATGAGTTGAGTCTCTCACACTCACACACATAGGGGAAAGTAATAGATGACATACTCAAAGAAAAGGAGGACATCAGAGCAGAGACACTCGTCAGACACAAAGGTACATTATTTCCAGCACAGGAGGGATGACAGTTAATACCTCAGTGGAAAATGATAGTCACAGCCTATGAAAAAAAACAGGAATGTGAAATCCAGAGAGAAGCTGAAAAGCACATGTGAAAGTCCAGCTGTTTAAAATCTACGTGTGGACCTGTGAGCATGCATTTATGGATATGTGCTAGGCTGGTGTATGTGCATGCAAAGTGTGCTGAATGAGGGTACACATCATCGCCATGGTAACTTGGCAGATAACGAAACCTGGTAACAAGCTGCTGTGCCTGCAGCCACATCACATCCTGTTGTCATTTTCTGGAAATTACCTGTTTTTCTGTTACTAAGACGTCTGTGTGCATATGCATGTGTGCATCTATTCACCTATTTAAATATCCACCTCTCTATAAAAATGAGAATAATGAACAAAAAGAACTGAATGAAGATTGGTATGAAAGCTGTCGCCTTATACAACAGCCTCTCATTTAACCTTTCTCACATCACATATATAGACCTCAGGGTGAGACGGTGTTCAGCAATAGACAGCGAGACAAACCACCGTACGGGGAGCAGATCACAGTCAGACAGGACAGGGCGTGTTAACAGTGACCTGGTCGAGGCTGTGTGTCAGACTCTACAGGAGAGCGTGTGTGTTTATTGAGACACAAGTAGAGACAGTGTGTGTTCCCACAGATATAACAGACTCTCTGTCCGCTTGACCTACCTTGTGGGAACTTCGCTTCAAGGCATGGCATAAAATAGATATACAAACACACACACACACACACACACACACACACACACACACACACACACACACACACACACACACACACACACACAAACAAAAAGAGGATTGTTAGCCGTTTCCAGCTAAACAAGAGGTTGCCATAGATGCACTTCCTGGACCACCGGCCATGTCATCAGTCTTAAGGGGAAGTTAGTATCACGGTAAACAAACACAATTTCCACTAAAATACTGGTGTTGTAAACTGCTGACTGTCTTATGCTATTAGTAGAGCCAGAACACAAGTGGAGAGGAGGGCACTGTGTCATTTTACTAATGCTTTATGACTGAGGATCTCCACAACAGGGAAATCTGTGTGTGAGGGCTGGGGGTCCCCCAAAGAACTGTAACAGGCTTTGTGGATAGCCTGCTGCGAATCCAAACCCCAAATTGAGGGATTTGTTTGCCAGAGGAGGAGAGGGAACATTTAGAGGTTTGCTCCAGCTGCAGAGAAAACCACAATACCTCAGCTTAACAAACAGCAGCTTTTTAACATCACAGGGAGACATCACATCACAGACAAAAACTCCTGGAGCTTGACAAAATATGTCTAAATCAAATATTGGTGGATTATTTTTTATTGTTACTGACAGGAAACGTAACTGCAAAAGTACATTTCTTCACTAGCTGCAGAATACTATATACTACACAACTATGCCTACAAACATGTATAATATATATATTTTCTTCTCATCTTCTCTATCATGCATCTGTTCTGTCTAACCCAGACCTACTTACACCCCAAGGCTTTAACTGAGGATAAAAAATAAACACAAACTAGGCTGAGGTTGTGACATGTCATCCCTTCCGGTGTTAAATACTCAGAGGCCCTCTAAATAATGAAGGGAATATGTTTCTGCAAAGACAAAAACATGATCATGAGGCACATGATCTGTTGTTTTCTGTGGCTTGGTTTTATGACCAGAGCTGTTTATTACCAAAAAACAAACTGAGCACTTTGGAAATGAGATGTAATTTTTGCTTTACTTTCAAAATAATGTAGCACAGTGCTTCCCAGCCTTCTTTTAAATGTACTCCCACAGTCCTGTCAGATGAACTCACGTACTCCTTCCTCAAGACCACCAATTATGTTCTGAATGTGTCCATTAATTTGTGCTGGATGTTAGTTAACACTGCATAGTATAAAAGTGGATATTACTAGAATATTTTTGGCATTATTATGTTTGTTTAACTTTACATTCGTACTACATGTGGCACAAGCCGGATGCTTAATTCTTTTTATCGACAGTTACTTTTTGCTATTCCAACCATTTATACATTGCTTTTAGCTTTAGACCTTGCTTGCTTATTAACAGCTAGTTTTCACACACTCAACACTTGCTGTTCCGGTGTTACAGGTGACTCAACATGTTGATATATATATAATTTTAATTAAATTCGATATTTTTTATGTTAGTTGAATTATTCTACAATCTTTTCACGTACCCCCTATGAAACTGCAGAAGTACCCCTGGTTGGGAGTCACTGATGTAGCAAATGTAATGATAATGCCTATAAACTTTATATGCTACTGAGCTAAAGAAACTTTAAAAAGGATGTGGAGAAGTCATGCAGCATTGCAGCTTGAGTGTCTAAACCACAGACATCCGCACATTCATGCACCTTTTCTGGACTCCAATTGCAAAATCACAGTTCATAGAATATCAAGATACAATAAAAAAACACAATTACACCAATAATAATGTTAGATTAACACACAGAAGAATTTTTAAAAAAAAATGTGGGAAAGAAATCCAAACACGTTCCACAGTGACTAAAAGAAGTTGAGTCTTAAATAATAACTAATATAAGTTTTTTATTTCTGAACAATGGAAATGAGAGAACTGATGTTGGTCAGAAAACCCACACAGAAAGGAACAGTAAATGAGAAAACTAATATTGTTTGTGGTGATCTATACCTCAGCAAGCAGGGTGAGATGCTGAAAAGCATACATATTCATTACGGTACAAGGTAATGTTAGCCACAGCACCCTATTGTATGGTCTGAGTGAGGAACATACAGCGGGTGACTCATGAGTTTTAAAGCTATGTTAAGTGACTGTTTCTACATCACCACATAGATTCATTTCATTTTTTTCCCAGTCCCTTAATGACGATTCTCATACAATTTCCATTGCTGCATACCATTTTCTAATGCATAACAAAGGCTTTTAGATTTATTTCCTACTTTCATTCCAGCCATTAGCTTTCATCTATTTCACTATACCTTAAAATCCAACTTGCAGGGTGTTCCTTGAGACAATGTATATAATAATTCACAGCAAGGTAAAAAATGAATCTTCTAAGAAAATGGACTATGGAAAAACTATGTGGTCAATGTGATCCTTTCTTGCTTGATAGCATAGCAAATAACCTCCTTAAAGCACTAACACTGATTAAACTGAATATAAATTTCAGTGTCATAAACAGAAATTAAAAAGCCAATAGAAAATGGTCAGCAGAAATGTAAATATACACATTTTGCCATTATCAAAAGCCAAACAACAACTAGCATCCCTTAGGGTTGAGGGGAATCTTTTTAAAGAATCCACATATTACATTTTCACTTTACACAAACAATGATAGGCACTATATGAGAGCAGAAGAATACAACACTGAATTCTGTGCAACCAGTCCTTCATGCTTCAATAAAGGAAATAACTGTAATCAGACACAACACCGCTCTTGTTTCAAGACTACTTTCTTGAGCTGCTGTTCCGGGTCTTTCCAGTTGAGTTCAGTGTTAGCCTAAGCCTATTGTAGCTCCTTGGCTGTACGTCCAGAGTGCAGAAAGGCTCTTTATTCCAGCCTATATTTGCATAATAATCGGGTCTGAACTGTGTCAACTCTGAGCCTGAGCTCTGCTCCAACAGCTGATGAAGCAGTAGGAGCACGCGCTGCTGACCCATGATGCCTTGCGGGCGTGGGAGCTGTGTGGGTTAAAGGCTGAGTTTTTGAGGGCTCTTTCAATTGGTTATGACAACAGGAAATGACATCGGCTACAGGCCCAGGGGGCTCTGGTCTACAAGTCCTGAGAATGGGATGATCGCCGCATGTGTTGATTTATTGAAGAGGATGTATAGTCACAGAAAGACCAAACTATGTATTTGGATTCTTTACTATGAAAAAGAAAAGCCAAATAATATATATAATCCACAACACACATAAAAACACACACAATCTCCACTATGGACACAGCCCTCTCTGTTGCTAAGGCCCATTCAGCACAGCAGAGTGTTTGGTGGCTGCTCAACAGTGATAATGAGGACTCGGTGCTGCTATCAGCTTTGTTTAGCAGCCGATCACTGTGCTGTTGAGACAATGCCAGCTTTTACACACAGTCCCTGGCATCAAACACATGGTCACTCAATCTTTGCTGTCTTTCGGGCTCAGTGTAATGAGGAGTCAGGGGCATAGAAGGGGGCAAAAATGTAAAAGAAAAAGGCGAGAGAAAGGGGAGGGTGCTAGGTGGGAGGGTGAGGAAGGCCAGGCAATTGTGTTAAGCATGGAGGGTATAGGACAAGCTTGCGTGATTGGTGGTTGCTGTACACGACTGAGATGACACATACCTTTTCCACGTCAGCCTTAGTCACGTTAATGTCAGCATCCATCTTCTCAAAGTACTGCTGGGCTCTGTCTGCCTCTTTACAGTCCCTCTCAAACCTTCTTTTACACTGAAAAAACAGAATATAAAATACAATAGGATCAGAGGCATTGTTTCAGTTACTTTCGGCCATGAGCTGTAGCAGGAAACACTTTGTAACTTGACCTTTAAATAAGCATAGTAATGAATGTCATAACATGTACATATACGTCATATAGATTTCAGGCGCAGCATTGTGTGCGACAGAGGTCAGTTTGTCATTGACACAGCAATGGGGTATGTCAAAGTCTGCAGCCTGCAGATTAAATAAATGTTCATAGTGGTCATTTGTGTACAGAAAAACAACCATTCATCCAACCCTCTCTCGACCCCTCTAACGGAACAATCAGTGTTTGTTGGGCCAGCGTGCACTCTGAACTATGCCTATCTGCCTCGCACACAATGGGATCATTGAACGCACAGAGAAGTTTGAGGAGGACAAGGCAGTTATGCATCTCTCTCACACGCTTTCTCTCCCCCGTCAAAGGGGCCAGGCAGAGATAAGAAGTGGTATTCTGCACAATCTCTCTTTTAGCTCCTTCACTAAAACACTAGACACTCCTGGATCTGCTCTTATCTAGGGTTTTAACAAAGCTTGGAATTATACAGTAGTTCTAAATCATTCATCATTCAATCATTAAATCAAGTTACTATTGACAACTACAAAGATGCACAATTGATGTTCAAGTGAAACTTATTTTTGTAACTTTTCTTTCTTTCTTAACAGATTGTTCAGAGTTTTTACATTCTTAACATTATCAGCCTGCTACTCAAGGAGAGGATAACATAAATCATGCAATAACACATTCCTTAAAACAGTCAGTAAGTTGTATTGCACATTCATCCCATAGCCGACTTATAACCACTGTCATGTCCCCATTTCGAGCAAAAGAAATGGCACATTGTTTGAGGTTTTGGGTGAAGACAGGACATGAGGTACCTCAGGGCACTGTGTGAAGCCCTCTCCTGATGTTTTCTTTTCCATTCAGACACCACCTCCTGTATGTGCTCTCTCAGTTTTTGATGATGATGTATTCTATAGTCACACGGCTAATCCTCAAGAGTCTGTTGCAACATGTGCTTTAGTATCATGCGCCATAGATGTTAATGGCTGATTCTAAGGCCTTAGACCACAAACCACGACATATAGACAAACACAGCGTTTAATGTCATGACTAAGGTTGAGTTCTGATAGGCGGTTTGATTTTAAAAAAATACCTGCATTCATTAGCAACAGAGCTAAGAAATCTGGATATCTTTTTTTTCACCTCTCATCCCTCTTTTTATTAGTCCTGACCAATTTAGAAAACATTCCGGTAACATAAGCAAGCTTCTTATCTTTACCTGGCACTGATTGTTGCTTTCACCATTTAAAATGACATATGTCGCCTGTAGCAGATTATATCAGCTGTAGCCAATTAACGTTAATTTCTTAATGACTACCTTTGAAAAGAAACATCATTCTGTAACATCGCTCTAACTTAATCTTTTGTGGTGAATAAACAGATTTTCTCCAGCTTTTTGAAATAATTACACAGGAAATGAAGTTGCAGGTGAGCTTTAATGATAGAGTGAAATGCAGAAGTAACTCATCGGGTAGTTGGTTATGACACGAGGTTATTATGTTCTAGTTTTGTCTCTCTTGAGAGTCACTATAGCACCTGTCACCAATGGAAACTGCTACTAGTGAACAATTATAGTAGTGCACAATAATGGGGTCACTTACCGATTCCAGCTGTTTCCACGAGCTCTCAATGTGCTGCTGTGCCTTACGCCCATCGTGGAAGTGCTGTCAGAAGAGTTTGGGAAGAGAAAAAAACATTAGAAATATTACTATACTATTCACAAGCTTAGGGGATTTAAAAGTAGGTGAACCTGACCTTGACATAGTAGGGATAATAAATTAGAAGCAGTTGGAATGGGGGTATCAACCATACCATTAACACTGAATATTCCTCACAATGTGACAGTATTATAGGTTAACTGCGAAAGTAGGGCAAATTCCAGTAGACACTATACTGTAGCTACATTAAAAATGATAAGCACAGGCTTAACTCTGATATTTATACAAGCTCAAGCTAATGGCTATAAGTCTATTTGATTAAAGATCAGCTAGATCATAGCCCACCACCAGTTCCACACAGGTGCACTAACACTGTGTGTTTTATAGCTCTGGAGGAACAGTGTTACAATTTAAACATTCACTCAGCACCAATGATAACAATTAACTGAATGAAGGGTTTATACTAAGTAGAGATTCCAGTGAAATAAAAAAGGTCAAACATACTGTAGATCAAGTAACAATGACAATCAAGGGACCAGTAACAGTGCAGTGAAGCCGAACAGACGCCATTTTAATGAATCTAAAAAGTCACATGTCATGTACAGAGAATGTGCCAATGGCAAGGTTTGTGTTAAAAAAAAAACTCCTCTGTGCTTTCTTCTTGGGCTTCATGCATACATAAGAGATGAAATCTGGACAATTCTTTAATATATAAATATCTATACAGAAGATCTTTGTAAGATAAAAAAGAAAAATGTATTCAGTTCAAAAGGCAATGAACCACTTTTCAGTAAGAAGACCCATTACAAGAAACAACTCAATACTACTTCTCTACACCAAATCTCAACTTCGTCTGTCATAATAATTTCACACATCACACTATATTACTGTAGACTAAGGGCACGGCTCTATTAAGATACTGCCATAGAAATCTTCTATAAAGTTATTGTTGTTTTCAGTAATAATTATCCAATGTTAGCATGTAAGCTCAGTAAAATATGATAGTAATAAGCATGACAAATGTTATACCTCTTAAACATCAGCATGTTAACATTGTCATTGTGAGCATTCAACTCTTTTGTGAAATAAAGAACGCACATGTTCTGACCATAGAAACCGTTATACTGATAGTATTAACAGTTAAATTTGTTATTCGCCTGTCCCTGAACAAACAGGATACAAAAATGACAGTTACTGTAACTGTTAGATGAGAAAGTAGAATAAAAAAACAGCAAAAAGCTAACTGATAAAGTAAGAACAATGGCTGGACATGAAGTGAAAAGCTAACAGTGAGCATACCAAGAGATAAAATAAGCGTACGAGGAGCCAGATATTGTAATCTTGGGGGAGACAATGCGGTTTGGCACTGCCAAGTATGGCATATTAGACAGGCTAGGTGGCAGCTGCTGGTCTGAACTCACACAGCACATAGGCTGTGTGTTTTTCTAAAGGCCTCACTTGGCCTATCTTGCTCCAGGGGACCAGAGCACTTGGCCCGGAGGCAGAGCACATCTCTCTACGGCTCTCTGTATGGATCACAGCCAGATGCTCTGGAAACACAGAGCACCAATTTCAAACCTTTGTTGTTTTGAAACTAGATTTTGATAACTTAAAGCATACAAATATTATCTCCATTGCCTGCAGTCACTTCAATCTGCTAAAGAATCAAAAAAGACTCAAATTAAAATGAAAATGACACAGAGACTTGACTATCAATGAGGTATCCGTTGGTTACGCAGACTGCGGAAGCTAGGGTCTGTAGCTGAGCTGAATATCGATGCTGCCATTCAATAACGGACACAGGCCATTATGCAGAACAGAAAGCTGTTGCTTGTACTTCTCTTGCATTTTAGGGCTTTGGAAAGCACAAGGAAGTCCTCAGTATTCTATGGAATGACTCAAACACACAAGCAAGTGATGTGAAATTAATACTGATGCAACAGGCCTAAAAGGTTCATCTCACCTGGATAACGCTCAATATGAGAACATGAGAGTAGTTAGTGAGAATGTGCCCTGGTTTACCTCAGGTAGTCGCACTTCTCATTTCCCAAAGTTTCGAGGGAAGCTGAGTAAAATAAGGAAGTGCTCCAGTGTTTCAGAGGAAGTATTTGAGCTTTAACAGAAAATGGGACATTGTGGAAGTCCTAAACGAACAAACGAACACTCAAGCATGTTGTGTTTTTTTAAATGCTCCTAAGACCCTAACCTTCAAATTCCTGATAAGAACAACCTTCTTCAGTGATGAACTTGGAAAATATGTCTTAGTAAATGATAATAGGATTCAGTGAAGATACCAAAAAGCCTCTTCACAACACACAGCACCAGACTGTGTGACATCATTGTTGCTGTGGAGAATGCCTTCAGCCAAATATTTGTCTCCATAACAACATATCTGAAAAATATCCAGCATCTCATTCTCTCTGCATCAACAAATCTTCCATCACCACAAAGATAAACAAACTTTGCTGACACTCTTCCCCAAACAGCTCCACCAGCTTCACAAGACCCCGCTGGAGGATGAAGGTCTACCGAACACATGATGTTTGCGTTACCAAACCAAGACACATGAGCTCATTCACTTTCAAACACAATAAAAAAAAGTGTATCAAAGTTTGTGACTAACAACCATCTGTGATGCAGGTATAAATGCGGCTGCCATTAGAGCAGATCTTCTGCAGTGTTGCGCATTGTTGTGTTTAAATTCATAGACTGAGATACACATGGCCCACAGGAAAGAGTAGACACACCCCATCTTTTAGCTTTATCCCGTCCCTCTCAGTAACAGCATGTGTCTGCTGGCACTGTCAGGGACATCTGGGGTACTTCAACGGGTCGGTGACCTGAAGCTGCCACTCTCAGTTACCAGGCATTTGAAAGACACAGTAAGAGAGGGAAAAGCTGGACGTTAACACACTGACAAATTCTTGACCCGAACTCTGAGCTTTATAACTACATCGATATATTAACTGCAATAAAAGTGGGATTGGAAAATATGATCATTATCCATCCAGGCACATTAGATCAGAGACAGCAGATTTAATACTTAATAATGTGAAACAGGACTTTCTCTCTGTGCTATGACTAAATTCCTCATTCTAGCCCCCTGCTCTCTGCACCTCCTGGTACAACACAGACCACCAGACTCTCTATGGGTACCATAACATTTGAAACAGAACCAAGGCATGCAAGAACGAAAGGGCCCAAATGTAATAATAGATGAGGTTATAGACAACTCTGATTCTGTAGACTTGTTTTGACAGATTTCAATCAATCAGTCAATCTATACACTACCAACAGATATCATCTTTCTCTGCATACACATCAACTACACCGTCCTCTGTCTACCTTATCTGCCTCCCTGCTTTCCAGTGTGAGTGTCAGCCATGCTCTGATGAGGCTGAGTGTGACACGCACCCTGTGTGACTCACTAGCTGTCCCCACCATATATACATTCAGAAACTGTGTAATTAGTTTTTGAGCGAAACAAAGATATGAGGTGGAGAAAAAAGGGAAAAGTCTTTCGGACCTGTCTGACAAATAAAGGAACAAAAACTTGGCTCCAGCGCAGCGTTACGCTTTTAAGATTACTCGTGTGAAGAGGTACACATGTACAGCTGTGCTCACACACAAGCTGATCTGTTAGTCATTCATTGACGTGACTTGATATGTAGGAATGTGCACCTGCAGCCCTGTACAGTTGTCAACACACATACTCATTAGGTACTAGAAATAGCCACAAGTCATACAAAATGTAGGGACTAGAGAGACGATTAAACCTCATGAAAGCTCGACTGAGATTTTTCTCCTCATGTTTAAACCATTAGGCGGCGGTTCAAACAGAGTGATATTGCATTCTGGAGTGAGACGTGCACACAGCGACGATGGGAAGATCCAACAATCAATTCTCCCTCCCTGCTTCCTATTTGTCTTTCCACTCAACACAAGAAGGCATGTGAGGCCATAGAGACACATTGTTTTTACACTGTGGCTGCATCTTCTGTGCCTCCAATGAGAGCAGTACTGACTTTTTGCTAAATGTAGTGCTTATTTTCCTTTCCCTGCCAGCTAAATAAGATGTATTCATCTTTTCTAGCTGGTTGAACTTGTCACATCGCAGTAGGATAAGACAGATAAAAAACTTCCCCCAACAGCAAAACATATAATTACGTGGTGGGCTGTGGGTGCAAGTGGATACAAAAGAGCACACTCTGAACTAACGCTCAAGTGGACTCCTTCAGTAACATATCGATATACCGCATTCAGTACATATAGTATAGTGACATGTAAGTGTTAGATTGAATGAGCAGTCTCTGGAGGTCTGAATGTTTAAGGGTCTTTATCAGACCTCATTAGAGAGGATGCCTAAGCCCTGTGATCACAGACGTGGTGAGGACAGCAGTATGCTGACCGAACACCTTATTATGATTCCTCAGCACAATCACAGTCCGGTGAGACTTAGGCTCTTCATCCCATATTAACCCTGCCTGCTCTTCATCGTTGCCTATTATACTATTAGGCCATAAACAAGCAATGTTATCTTGTTTAGGTCATGATATATTTTGATAGTTCTTCCAGTGCGTTTTATAATCTAAATGTAATGAATGAAATAGGTTTGCATAACACATTAAATCGAGCAGTGTGACCTATAAAACCAGATTCCACTTTTGTAAAAACAAGTATATCTGCTCTCAAATGAAATCCTTTCAGACAGCATTCTTGGCTTCACCTCCTATGCCACCCCAAGCTGAGCTTAGCAAGAGGTTCTCTCAGGGAAACAGCAAAGGGAGGTGGGGTGAGTTACAAAACAACCCCACGTGAGAAACTAATGAGTTATTCCCCCCCCCTCCTTTCTGGTTTGTAGTTTGGATTTTTACCTGTTCAATAAGCTCCCTATAAACCCAGGAGGGGCAGGCCCTGACCCTCCTCTAATCCTACTGTCTGGGTCTGCCTGTACAGCTTTGTCTGACATGGGCACAAATCAAAAAGCTACAGAAAGAGCACTGAGTGGTGCTTAAAAATTAATGTGAATGAAACCAGAGAAAAGAATGACGGGAAGGTGGGGAAGTCATGAGTTAAGACTGCTTTACAAACACCTTTTAGAATCTTTTCTACATACTGAATATGAAACCCTGAATGTTTTTCTGTAGGCCAATTGGGTTGCTGTGATTCTAGCCTTTTCAACACCTGAACATCTAAAAGAGTGTCATTCTCCATCATCCATGAGAGTGTGGAGGGCGTGAGTGCGTGAAAAAATAGATACATAAATAAAGGCTACATTTACCCTGCAAGGACACTGCTCTGAACTATTGGGTCAGTTGTCTTTTAGATGAAATGATCTTCTGTTCTGAAAAGACACTGTAAATGATGGGGTCATGCTATGAAAGGAAACCCCCTGCACTGGCTAACTGAAGAAACACTGTTGTTTAGTCAAGAGAGGCAGACACATGACCAACTATTCACATTATCAGCTGCAAAAAAAATGAGGCTGAAGAAAACTGAGAAGCCGAGGGGTGCAAAGGTTGTGAAGGAGACACTGTGGGGAGATAATGAGAATGACAGAGGGGAGAGAAACAGAAATAAGTACAAATAGAGGAAAAGAAGAGGAAAAGTGCAGCGAAATGAAGAGGAAGGAGGGTGTCAGAGTGACATCCTGCAGACTCAGTGCAGCAGGGGGCTGTCCATGGACCCTGTATCTGGTCACTAGAGAGACAGATGCTATGTCAAGCCCAATCAAGCCAGGCTAAACCAAAGCCAAAAGAACAAAACAGGCATGGAGGGGGTGAATGAGTCCTCTAGCACTGGAAATCCCCTTTCTCTCTGTGTTTGCTGCAACTAAGACCAAGTTGAAAATCAAAACCGATCACTAATAATGTGAGGGATTCCTATATTTAGATGGAGTAGCAAGCCCAGCAACATGGATTGTCCCCAGTTGTGCGCATGAAAATATACTCTAAAAAAGGTCACTGTGCCTTTGAGCAGCCCTCTGGTTTTGGTTTTCCACCCCAGTTCCCTCAGCTGGACTTCCGTGACACAAGTGTCCATGACAGATTTTTTTTCAGAAAGGACTCAGTTCTCTGTTCCTCCACCAACTCTATGGATTTAATGGGCACCACACTGTTATCTATGAATCATGCGCTGCAGGTCCACTGCTCTTCCAAATCACTTTATAATGGTGAGGATGAAAGTGACATCAACATTTAAGAATAGTGTGTGGTGCACCAATCTTTTGTGAATTGGTTTAAAAGAGAGAAATAGGCCTGTAATGATAGAGAGACGAGGACTTTGTTCCATAAAAAGGACTCAGTAAGTCACGTTCTGCACTTCTGGCGAGCCTTTGGGTGTATCTATATTTATTCAGCGATGACCTCAGTTCATGCAAAATAGAATATGCAGAGAAAACAGGCTACTTAATTTCTTGTGGGCCTGTGTTTCTGTTTTTCTCTACAGAATCCATGTCCTACTGTCTAAAGTAAATGTTTGATTTACAGCAAAGGCATACGGAAAATAATAACATGATGTGGACAAAATTCAGAAACAGAACTAGAAATAAAACGGGAAAAAATCGGATATGGAAAGAGCGGAATGGTGAATATAAAAAGATGACTCACCGATTTTCTCTCCGACTTGATCTCCTGCAGGTAGCGCGAAAGCTCGGTGATGATTTGAGACGTCAGGTTCTCCGCTATGACCTCGTGTTGTCCCGCGTAGTCATTTAACTCGTTAAGTGTCGTCAGGAAGGCTCGACAGAAGGTGTACCTGTTGGGACACAGGAAGAGATGTCAGTGGAAAGTTGGTATAGTTGCCAAAACAGTCCTTTTGTTCAGAAATAGCACAGGTTTCCACAGCGTTACATGCCGAAGGAATAGTTTGACATTTGGGGAAATACGCTGGTGGAGAGTATGATGAGAAGATCAATGCCAACTCTCATATCTTTTTGCTGAATACAAGGATATAGCAGGCATCCAGTTATGTTATGGCCCTGTCCAACAATAACAAATTCAGCGTGTTAAAAGGTCAATTTGATGTTTTATGTTAGCTTATCTGCCAGACTATTTCTTGAGTCATCTAACTATATTTTTAACTGTATTTTTCAAAATAGAAAAAAGTTGAAATATTGCTTTAATCTATTTGGTATACAAAATCCTTTAACTTACTTGCTCTCTTCCTCTTCCCGTGAGTTCTTCTTGGGTTGATACTTCTTTGATAAATTCCTGTGAGGACAAAGAGTTCAGCTTTGTCAGACATTTCTTACAGTATCTTTCCTAAGAGCACGGTCTGCAGATGGGTAGTGCGCCATCCCCATTATACTTCCCTGACACTGCCCTTATGGACCTGGCAAAGGATCATCCAGTACACCATTCAATCCGGCAGAGTGCTTTCTGCTCCTGCTACTACATCCCCTTTCCTCTCTTCAGGTCATAAATCATCGCCCCCAGGAGTATGCATGCAGAACCAGTCACCAGAAACAAGCATGCTTTTTCTTATGCAGCCGTTGCCCTCGTTTTGACTCTGGCTGCAAGTTAGTGGCACGAGATGAGTGCAGTGTGAGCAGGAGAAGCAGAAATGAGATATACAGAGTTGTAAGGTAAGATGTCACTCGTTCCAAGTGAATGAGTGTTATTATGTTTACGACAGTCTTTCAATGTCCTCCTCTCAACCTAGCAAGGGTTGTTTTGTTTGACAGGCAACAATACATCATTTCACACTTGTTTTTTATCATGACAGTGTGACACACTCACCACCCAACTGTGCTGATGCTCTGTTTGATGGCTACTCTGTCAACACAACATAATAACGCGCACTATCTTCTGATGGATTTGGGTGCACATTGTGTACTTATGCCTTTGGGATCCTTTGACTAATTGAAGGGCACTGTTGTCAGGTTCAAAACAAGTGGTGCTAGTACACAAAAAACAGGCCTACACAAACGAGACAAGCCATTTATATGTTCACTGAGAACGTGACAACCAAAACGTCATACTGTAATTTTCCAATCCTATTGTGTTTATGTCTTACAGGTCTGTCCAATGCTTTAAATGTATGTTGAGACAAATTATATAATAATATAATCATGATAATCTTGAACAATTATTAGTACATCATTTAAAACACAATACCCCTGTCCACTTTTCATATCAGAATAAAAATGTCAATATCAACTGCTTAGAAAGAGCTGATAACAGTTGTTGCCCTTGTTACGAGATTGTAGCACTTTATGCCTGGAATGGAATCTAAATACCTCAACGTGCACACGTTGTAAAAGGACATGCTACATTCCTACTGAAATGAATAATGCATGTGTAAAAAAAATATAAAAAAACATACATGTAATGTGTGTCTGCACTCCATCCAGCTCGTTCTGCCAACATCCCCCACGCCTCCCCTCCCTGGCGGTGTTTGCACTGTTGCTAGGCAGATCTATCCGTCTATCTCCCTCCCTGTCCTTCTCACCTCGTCTCTAATTATAGTGCTGGTTCACACTTAACTCTATTCATTCACTCACAGCCAGATGTCATATGTCAGATTGTATTTGCCCACTTACCTTGATAACATATTTAACAAACTTGGCGAAATTAAGGTAGCAGCTAGCACTTAATTAGGAGGATTAAACAAGCGCTGTTTGGTGTATGTTTGTGTGTCTGGTTGGAAGATGATACCGCATGAGTGCATGAGTGCCACGGCTTGATACTGTAACCACGGTAAAGACAGACAGTTTTTTCACCCTCACCCAGTCTCTTTTGTTAGCAGGACTTTATTCCCACTGTGATATGGATTATACCAGACTGGAATTTGAGGGGGAAAGGGGGAGGAGGAGGCATTAATGCATTGCCCTGCAATGACTGGACTGAAGCATTGTGCATGTTTACACCAATGCAGTGGAAGAGGATTATTCATGGATTACTGCAGTGTGTGGTTGGTATGGTGATAGTAATGGTACAAAGTAGTGTCATAGCCATGGTGGTATTGTATTGGTGAGGAATGTAGGCTATTTGATGTAGTTTATACAAACTTATTTGTAATGTTACAACTGCTGAACCTCACTTATACAGCTGGTGATCAATAATTACTATAACTCTGACTGACCCAGCTCTGTAGGCATTTTTCACAGTAGCATTTGACTTATTATAGTATGGAAAGCACAAGTGTTATTAATTATATTAGGGCTGGAACTAAAACAAAAAATGTTCATTATCAATCTGCTGAATATATTCTTAATTAATCATCTAAGATAATTGTATAAAATCAAAATGTTTTCAAAATTCCTGAGAAGTTGTAAATGCCGATTTATCTTATTATGACATGTCAAGATGTCTGCCATGAAAAAAGCCTGTTACCTCTGGAAGGACATAAAGGAAAGATAAATCTGTCCAACGACACAGATGAGATCAAAGGGGTCAACTCACTTACTTTATTAGATCCAACAGCTCTGCGTTTCTTTTGGTTTCAGTGTGCCCTGTTAGATTAAACCTGATTTCATGAGCTAAGTTGATTACAAAGAATAACTAGTCCTGAGGTATGGTAAGAGGCACGATAACAAAGAAGTACAGTGTGTTAAGAACACAGGAAAACCCTATGACTCAAGCTATCCTGTCTGTACATCCTAATTTCCTCATTTCAGCCTTTTTCTGACAAGTGTGTCAATGTGCACGTACATGCACATGTTTCTGTGTGTGTGTGTGTGTGTGTGTGTGTGTGTGTGTGTGTGTGTTTACTAGATACAGACACAGTTTGACAGCGGGCCCTCTGTATAAGCACAGTGACTGAAAACATCCGCACCATCTGTGGAGCCTGAAGTTCAATAAAAGCCAACCTGCCATGGAGGGATGAGTCCAACCCTGTTCTTTTGTCAAACACACTAGAGACAGATGCTGACTAATTGAATTATGGGATATCTCTATGTGTTCGAATGTTCGAGCCCTATTTTTTTTTGGGACACAATATTTGTTTAAAAAAACTAAATTTGTTGTATTATTTGGATTTAAAGCAATGTATTTTGGACTAAAAAGAACAACTATCCAGAATCTATACACATGAACAAAAGCTCATTTAAGCACCATAATAAAAGAAGTAGGATTGCACTTGCACACTCTCTGTTTCACTCATTTGCTTTAAATAAATTTGACACCGTTTCTCTTAATTCAGATGTTTCAGCAAAGGAGACATAACAGCCCAAACTAGGAGATATCCAAACAATCCACAAATATAAATCAGTATTTGGCTGTTTGATATGTGTCTGTCTTTAAGTGTGAAACGTTCATGGGTGCAGGGCTTAATGCATGCATTACACACAGACTACTAGTCCTATTATCTCAAGCTGCCTTAACTAAAAATGACAAGTGGTATGGTCTGTGGAGGATCTGTTACCCAGGGTCGCTATGTGAATACTGGATTGGTATTGGCTAGTCACAATGAAATGGGGGGTTGGGGTCAATACTTAGAGCATTAGCCATATTGCCAGACCTCTTTTAAGATGAGGATTGTGGATTTGGGGGGGGGGGGTATCTCCTACTGTGTTGGGATGCAGGGGGCCTTAGGAGATGGATCCTCTCAGTGCAGGACTGCTCATGTGTGCTCATGCTCCCATCAGTGCCTTTGAAAATCAGTGACTGCACCAAAACAGAGTTTGTGCGGGGAGAATTGGAGGGGGGGGGCGGGGCCGACACTTGTGGTTGGAGGAAAAAAAAAAAATCTGGGTCAGACGTGGAGTTGATAATGCTGATACCTAGTAGTCTCTATGGAAACACAAGCTCCACCCCACCCCACAACCTGACTTCCTCTTGCCTGAAGCAGAAGCTAGCAACATCGGACAGCATGCATGCATGAGAGTGAGGGAGAGAGAGAGGCAGACAGAGAGTCTCTTTAAAAAAAAAGAGAGAGAAAGATGGAGGAGGGAATAGACATCCTCTTCATGATTGTTTATTTAGCTCTACACTATAAAGCAATTATGTTTCCCTAAAGAGGAACAATGCTGTTGAAAAAACAAGGATTTTTTTGTTAATTACTATAACTCTAATGTCCTACTTCCCACATGGGAATCGTCGTTTCAGTTTCCCCCTCCAGAGGGAGGTCAGAGGTCACGGTCAGCTACATAACGAGCTGGTAAGGATGCAGTCTCTTGTTTCAAGGACACTTCGGTAGGTCAAATCCTGCTGTAGAGGGGGGTTTCTTTATCTAAGCCACCTGGATGGAAACAGCCACACCAAATACAGCCCTGCAACCCTGAATGTGGATTCATAAGTCGGCTTGAGTACTCACCTAATTTGTTTTGCATAGCTGATTTCAATCTCTGACCTCTCCTTGACAAATTTGGTGTATTTCTCCACATATTCGATCCCCCACTGTGTATGCTTCTCCAAGTTGTCAAACTGATCCTGCGGAAGAAGAAGAAGGAGACGTAATGATTAAATCATTCAAATTCAAAGGCGATAGACATTATCAAGAGCACAGGAAAAAAAGGAAGACAAGTCAAGCATTTAAAAGATTAAATCAACCTGTCAAAAACACTGTATTGTAAATATTGTTATCAAATACATGTAATAAAAATATTGTCTTTCAAAAATTCAACTTATACTCAGCCTTGATTATCATACATTATATAGAAATATAAATATTGTGCGTCTGCATTCCCTCAACCAAAAGGAGTTGGGCATATACTGTAGGTGTCAGTCAGTGGTTATTCTCAGTCACTGATCAGGGGAAAAACAACCCTCTGACCTACCCCCAGGACTACAATTCATACATTAAAGCCCTTCAAAGGTTGTATGTCTGGCCTATGACTGACACTGTCCTCTCCAGATGCAACCATTTTGAGCTAATATCATCTTAAAGCGAGGTCTGTCCAAGGGTAAGTGCAGTTCATAGTAAAAACAGGCACTAACAGCCTCCACTACTGATAACCAAATACAGCTGTTGGGGCCGAACTCATTATTCATGATTTGTTCCTGACTTGTGAGGAAAAAATGAGCCTCTAGTTGGCTGAGGTCACGTCTTGAAATCCACCAGTTCAGAAAAAGAGAGCATTACATCTGGGATACCAATGAACACACACACGCCACAGCTAGTGTACTGACGATAATAAGACTACTGCTGAATGATCTTCTTTAGATAGTGTGGGTGTAATTTTAAAGATGAACCAAAAAAACGACCTTGGTGTGGCTCCAACAGTCCCCCATCCTCTCCTCCACCATGTCTGGAGTCTTCCCGAATCCAGCTAATAGTTCCTCTAGCAAAACACACTAAGCTTGCGAAGTGTCAGCTCAAAAAGCTTCATCTGACTCTCTGAGAAAAACCATGCAGTATACTCAATGACTGCTCTGAGCATCTCTGCACTAAAAGCATTTTCATATCACAGGAAGCGGTTGTGGTGATACACTATAGCCTACACAGTCTCGAAGCACTTTGAAGTATCTAAAAGTTTACCTGACTTTGCTGTTAGAATTACAGCATGCAGAACATTCAGAGCAATGCACAATTTAGCTTTATTGAAGTTACATCATGTCGCATTACGTGTGATTAAAATCTCTCCAATACCTTTGAAGCAGCATTCACAAATTAAAACGGCTCCCAATTGAAGCACTCAAGGACAACAATAGAGAGTACTTTGAGTGAGAGGGACTTTCCAGCCTGCATTGTTAGTTAGTTTCAATGAGCAATCACTCATCAACAAGCCAATCAACAGAATAATGACAACATAAAACCAAACACATTGACATTTTCCCTGAAATAATTAGGGAACTCCTCAGCCTCGTCACTCGTCTTTGTTTGTCTCCCTCAGTTTTTGTGCCCTCAGACACCTATCCACTGTTTGTCTTGTTTCTACAACAAGCTTTCCATCCCCTTTAACGCCTAAGACGTATGACATATGTGTCGACTAAAGCAAAAACAGTATTTATGTCATGATCACTAGTCAACAACCATTCTTGAAAGAAAAGCACTGCAGTCCCATCATGCACATACAACCCTCCTCTCCCAACACACACTCCTCCGCACACATAACTCAGATTACCCTCTTCGGCAGGGGCACCATCTTATCCAGTGTGTCTCTGTGTGGAATGTGTAACCTTCTGAAATATCCCAACTCCAGAAAATGTCCATTCAAAGGGTGAGGTTAGGTTAGAGAAGGCATCCTTAGGACCAATTCCCAGGTATCCAAAGCAACGGGTCGCAAGTGCAGATTAGTGTGAGCGTGCCTGAGTTGGGAACAATGTCCACTGACCCCCGCTCCCACACAATAACAAAGAAAACTGCACAGTTGTAGCAAGTGATTCCCGATTGTCTGGAAGAAGCAAGAATCCCAGAGAGCAGAGGAGGAACCCGATGCAGTACTGGCCTAGCACACACACATTCTGAATATGAGGCCAGGGCTGCCCTCAGCATTCAGGCTTAATGCTCCATCAGGCGTAAGGTGGAATAAGTGGGATGGGACAGGAGGACAGTGAGAGAGAGCGGAAAAACAGAGGGAGGGAGAGGGGGGGCTTGAGAGGAGCACAAATGACAGAAGAGGCGGGATTACACAGGAGGGGATTACATTTGGGGGTTGGGGGGGGGGAGACTATCCTACACAGCAGGGACCTAATAAGTTTTCACATTACCATGCCTTAAATAGAATTATATATATATATATATATATTGCAAAGTCAAGTTTATTGTATGCAATATGTTGAGTCATTCTGAGCTCACGAATCTTTGCTAATATGAGACGGGATAGAAGAGGCAGCTGCTCAAGTAAAATGGAAAAGTCATCAACAAAGCAATTCTCCAGCTATAACAGAAAAAGCACTTAATAAATTATGAATCGGGGTGAGGCAAATATTGAAGTCAACAACACATTATGTGAAAGTGTGTCGGATGCTAAAGTGCAGGCCGTGCTCATCGAAATATCTAGCCCTGTACATTTTATACAGTTGGTCAAGAATTTGGCACTGGCAATAGTACATGAAAGCAGATGTGAAGTGGGGGAGATTTACAGACAGATAATTAACCAGTAACTATTTAGATATTATTTTTGGTAAGAAAATAAATTTAAAAAAAAATCTGTCTGCAATGAATCGGCTTTCCAGTTAGTGTCTGTGCACTGCATGCAAATTATAGTGTCACAGTTGGCTGAACAGTAACTAGACTCATATTCAAACCTGCAAAGGAATTTTTGTAAAACCTCCTCTTATGGCCCCCGTACTAAAGACTCCTGCTCCAACTATAGACCTACTTCCATTCTGTCATCCGTGGCCTCTGACACCCAGCCTTGTTCCTGCAGGGAGGGAATAAGTGGGGGACCCTTCCAGGAGACGAACAAGCCCACTCTGCTTGTTATTTCAGGACACAAGCCCACTCACTGTGATGCATGTACTATTGTGGTAGTACATGAAAGAAAATAAATAGAACTGCGTTGCTAAATATTGTTTTATTATCCAGGAAATGGGAAACAGGTTCAAACTGAGAACAAAGGAGACACTTAGCAGTTACTAAATATATGTAGGTTGTCCGTGTGCTGTAAGAAAACAAACATATGCTTGTTTAAGGATCAGCCTCCTGACCTGCAACCCTTTCCCAACTGGTGATGGAGATTATGGTGCAGTTTAATGTATTAGACTGCCAGTTAATCTGAACTAATGCACATTATTTAGCTACCATTGCAGATGAGATCTCTTGATCCGACCCGTACTGAGGGCCCTTTGACCTCCATCCCTGCAGCACAGAGGTTTTCTCTTTCCTCTCTATTTTACTGTGAAACCCATCTGCAGTACCTGAAGATGATACAATATTCATAACTTCTTTCGCTTTCTATTAATAGCATATCAAGTATGAAACACAGCAGTAGGCTGAGCAGTCTGTCTGTTGGTCATAACACTAGTGATAATGGTAACAGGTCAATATCAGCTGGGGTTATAGTCAGGAAATTATAGAGGGTAGGATATTCTTAGAGCAAAGTACTGAGGGTGTCACAATCAGCTTAATGACAAAACACATCTGTGGCACTTTAAGTAGCTCTCATCCCCATCCTTTATTCAATTCAATTCAATTCAATTCAATTTTATTTGTATAGCGCCAATTCATAACAGAACTTATCTCAGGACACTTTTCAAATAGAGCAGGTCTAGACCAAACTCCTTATAACATTATTTACAGAGACCCAACAGGACCACCATGAGCAAGCACTTGGCGACAAGGGCAAGGAAAAACTGCCTGTTAAAAGGCAGAAACCCTGCAGGTTTCAACGAAACAAGGTGTGGAATAAATGGAGCGTGTGGAAGAACTGTTCTGTGAGGTGAGCAGATGGGTTTCACATAATAATGCACCTGTCAGCCTCAGAGGCAAGCCGGTTCATGATGCAGGAATGCAGATGACACAAAATAAGAACTGTTTGACTTGGTCATCTCTGTTTTTCAGGAAGATAAAAAGACAATGAGATTACGGGTCATGAATTTCTAGAACAGACAGCTCAAGTGTTAGGGTTGCCAGACAGAAAGGAAGTGAGCAGCCAAGTTTGATAGACGAGTAGTTTGCAACAAGGTTGGTGATAACATCTCTGAATAAATGCTCGTGGAGACACTTCTTGTTTCATCGCAGCCTTAACACTGCAGAGGTCGGTTGATGCTCTGATGATCACAGCAAAAAATCAATACGCCATTAAAAACACAAGAGAAGAGGAAAAAGGAAGCCGTTTCATTGGTCGAGTAAGGGGAATGAACAAACAGGAAATCGCTGACTTATAACCTAATAAGATGTAAATGCGGCGTGAGTCAGCCATTAACAAAAAAACTAAAACATGTGTAGTGTTTTAAATAAATTTAAACCCCATACTAAAAGATGCCTAGGCAACCTCTGTAAATGAAATCAGAAATGTTATAGCTTTTCATTGTCTGTCTAGTTGTACAAATGTTAAATCTCTCATTCATTTAATTGGTGGTGTAACAGTGTACAGATTTCAAGATGGATGTTTTTATGGAGGCTTTCACCAATGAGTGCGCAGTGTTCCTGATTAGTTTCTGCATCGCCTGAAATGAACTGACCCCAAGCATATAACTGAAAGAAATCGCATTTGTGGCTTTACTTTCATGAAAGCAATAATCAGATTACCCTAACTGTTAACCTACAAGCATTTCCATCAAAATCCTTTCAAATCCAGTGTGCAAAGTTTTATTACAACTATGAAACTGGACGCAGTAGTATGAATTAAGTCCTGCAGCAAAACCTTTCTTTAACTTTCCAACACTGGGCGTTAAAGCTTTCACAACTAAACTTTATACTACACAAACTTAGCTTCAAACTTTCAGATTGTGTCAGTGGTTTCTATATTAAGTCTGACAAGAAACCTGTAGGAACAAAGGAAAGCAGACGTCACACCAAAGTTAAGGGGAATCCACAAAGGCTAAGGGGACAGATGTTCTGCTGGAAGGAAGACAATGGGACAAGAGGCTTATAGGTGCTTTTGTCTTTTTTTTTATGGTTCAGTGTGTTGAGTAAGGAGCAAGGACAGTATAGGTTGTTGGTGGTTGAGTGGACTGACTGAAACCCCACATACCTCACTGTCCCATAGAGACCATGATCTGACCAGGAGTCCATAATAATTAATTGTTTTAGACTGTAGAAAAAGTGGTGCATTAGAAACTATGATGGAAGTAGTGATCGTGTAATACCCCCCTTTTTGTTGAATAAAAAGCGATTGATTTCAGTGGACTTTTTATGTTCTTGCCATTGGTTAAACATGAGTGAGTTATTTCAGGAGCCTCATTAGCTAACTAACTATAAACTGCAGTGAGAATAGAAGAAACTGCATTCATCCAGAACTGTTCATTAGGTTGCGAGGGTCCTGCCTATTCAAATAATAAACAAACAGCCCAATTGTTCGAGCCAAACTAGCCCTGCCGCATCGAATCTAGCAAAGTGGCAGAAAACGCCTGATGCTTGGGAGTTGTTCTTCTGGTAGCTGTCTCCTTACTACTTACTGACCATAGCAGACGAGACGCACCAGAGACATTCAGAGACTCAGAGAAGCAATGTGCTCAGCAGAGAAGAGCCACTGAAGTCTACTGTCGTCCAGGAGTTGGTCAATGCGGCGCTTCACTGTGTCTCGCGGCTGTGGGCGTCCAGCAGCAAGAACAAATATTTAGGGGGGGAGATGCCGAACCCTCTCTCAAACACACACCGCGCTTTGTTCAAGAAAGCGGGGCGGAACAATGCATTCATAGCCTGGCGGAACCCCGGTGTCAGAGAGGAGTCGCAGGAAAATTAGACAGTGGCCTCACACACACACAAACACGCTTGTGCACACACATAAACAAAGACTGATGATCATGTGCTTGACCA